GATTAATATCAGTGGCGGTTAATAACAAAGAAATAGTCGAAATAACAAACACAGATTAGGACACTTCAAAGTCACGCCCCTAAAGTAGGTAGAAAACGAACCATATATATATATACCTGGTGATGTGATACGCATCTCTTATCTAACCAAAGATCAAAACGTAGAATCCTATTCTGTCACACGTCCATTGTGAGCCAATTACATTGAATTTAATCGCCCGGAAATCTGATAAAACGCGTCCATCGATCAGGAACGAAGGTCCTCTTAATTTTGTAGTATAGTGGTAGTAAAGAGTGACTCAGGCGACGTTCCGACGACGGTAATCCCGGCTGGTAATCCGCAGCCGTCCCGATAATCAACCCCTGTTTACGGGGTCAAAATTAAAAACCAGAGACCCTGGTTTAATTAAATTATTCCGGGCCGGACGTGTTTGTTAGCTTTGGGATTTGCGGATTTGCGAACGACGCGTCGACGATTTCGGGCACCCCCCCTTTTCTATTTCGTGTGTCGCGTGTCGGTGATAGATCGTTCTTCGTTTAAAGAGTTATTATTAACGCGGGGGACTCGAATTTTTTTTCACTCAACGGGGAATGAATATAAATAAGAGGAACGACTTGCGTAATAAAATGGTAATGATGTTAAATTGATTTATTTTGTGGGGTCGGTGGGGAAGCTTCGAAAAAATTTCTGGTTGAAATGGAATTGGAACTAAATTATTTTAGGTAAAATATAAAAATAAAATTTAAATAACAAAAAGAGTTTCTGTTTGGGGCGTTAAAATCGTGTACATGTTAAGTGGTATATAAGAATAAAAAGTTTCTCCGCCCCAAAAAGACCCATACCCATATCCATGCGTTGTTGGTCGGTTCGGGCGCCGTTATCTAAGATCAGAAAAACCTCCACGGTGATATATTTCGAAAATATTATAACAAAGAACATAAAAACGGCCGTCATATCTTCTCCCTACATTTCTCTTCTTTTTTCTTGTATATCTTTTTATTTGTCGTTTTCATAATTCACCTGCGACGCCTATTGCCTATTCTCTCCCGCTTTTGAGTCCCTTTCCGGACCTCTTTTGTGGTGGCGCCGAGTTTCGAATAATTTTAAATAATTTTTTCAACGATCGTCGTTTATAAAAATAATTTTTCAAATAACTTTCGATTCCTTACAAACTTAAAAATAATCATCTCTTGAGAATTACACCAAGTCCTGGTTTTGCGGATTCGACGACACGTGTCCTGATGATCTATTCACAAAAGGGAGAAGGGACAAAAACGCAATCACCGTTTCGGTTATAGTAAGTACTTACGTGGGTCTATTTGGTAATCAACGGAGTTTGTCCTGGAATAGCACTTGAGACAACTGATTATTTGCTCTCCCTTCGAGTAAATCGTTTACACGTGGTTTAATTTTTTCACATTTCTGACAAATACAGTTATTTTGGAGTTTCAAGATCATCAATTAGAAATAAGACTAGAAATAACAAGTTTTATAATAAATTTTTGCTGCATTGTGCTTTATAATCATAGTAATAATTTTTTCTTGTCGAAGACTTATGAAAAAGAAAGCTATTTTCTGAATCTTGTTCAAATTGTTTTAGTATCTCAAGACAATGGAAATTTTCGTTTGAATCTCTTAATGTCTTCTGATATAATGAGCGTAACGTGTGTCAAGTTATGATTTCTGTACATAATAACTATTCTAGTGAATACTTAATGAGTTCTAGAACATCTAGGAGGTTAGATAAACATTCCATCGCAAATTTTCCACGACTTTGATTACTAACACTCTAATGAAAAGTAACTAGAATGTCTTCTGTGATTCACTTATCTGTAAGTGTTTCAGTGTTCATCTCACCTTGTTGTTTCTTTCTGTCCATAACTATTTCAGTTCTCACTTTTATGATAATATTGTTTTTATCTACCAACCCTCAATTTAGACCTTGGTGGTTACGCTGACAGGGAAGCATTATCTAACAGCTGGGCTTATATTTCGGATAAATTTTCCCAAGCCAACCCGAATGTTTCTAGTTCTAGGTCTAGTGTCAGTGTTTATGTGTGACGTCACGAACGGGCCTTCGAGCTGTACAGGGTGGTTCAATAGGCTATCTCGGAAACTATAAGAGTTAGAAAAAAGTACCAAGATAATTACACTTGTTTGTTTTACAACATTTTCAATTTTGGCCTCTAGGGGAAAAACAAAAGACGATAGCGCTTTGAGGTTTTCGGCATTAGCAGTTTCTCGAAAAACGAGATCATGACATGTAAGCTACTTTTTTCTAACTCTTATAGTTTCCGAGTTAGCCTATTAGTACATCGAATTTGAATTAGGTAGCAGTCCTCTTAGATTCACCGTCCTTGATATAAATATAAATCCACGTAGACTGTGAATCTTAACACACTTTCTTTACACTTTATGCTATAGGCATGTGTGACTACCTATCCATAAGCGTTAATAATACAATGATTTTATTTACAATCGTCATTTCAAATCATTGAAAAAGAGATAGAAAGAGTGATACACAAGATTCTCCTACTACTTTTTCTTCATCTCTTCTATTGAGAGACGCAATCTCACATTAATCTGTTAATTAATGACACGGTTCGCCTTTGGCGGGCCGAATTGTAAGAATTTCAATATCGATTCTCATTTGTCGGTATCGGGCCGCCACAATGGCCGAGGTCCATTAAAAGCAGGCCGCCATTGTCGGGGAGCCCCCGCGTTTTTATTGACCGCTTGTGCCGGCTGATTCCATTTTAATTCTTCCTCCGAGTGCTTCGAATGATACCAATTCCGACAACGTCCTTCCTACTCTTTTCTTCAAACGGACAGGTGCCGCGTATTTCCACTTGTTGTTGTTGTTATACAGGGCCTCTCGATCCATTTGTGGATCCGAGAACTGCCGTGCCGTCGCGGTTTCTGCTCTTTTTCGCGCAGGTAAAGAAATGAATCCCATCCATTCCATATTTCATTCTCGGTGATAAATTGTTTTAAACGGACCGTCGTTTTTCTTCTTCGTCCGTGGTTCACACAGGTGGATATTCGAAGGAGACCGGATTGTTTTGTCCAGAAACGCAACGTCGTTCGGACAAAAGGGACGCGCGTGGGGGCGAACCGATCTCAATCTGCCACAGTTTTTTCACCAGACACAATGGCGCCGAATTTTTTTTCTTTTAATGATACACGTTTCTTGGAAATTCTCTCAAAAACGATTTTAAACCATGAAAGAACCTGATTATCATTTACAATAACATTAAAAACTTATTTCGATCAATTTTCTAGAATCATTAAGCATCCGCAAACTTTACAAGACAATAAATAATTCGTAAACATTTTAAATGCGATTATCCTGTTGACTCGATGAATCTGCTTTTGCGAGGACTCCCCCAAAACCGTCGTACTAGTAACGAGATTATACGCGAACTTGCCAAAGAAGGGGTTGGTTGATCGTGTTGACGCAACCCATTATTAAAACTTATTGCCACCGAGGGGATCTTTTCATTAAACCCGCTTAACACGCTGTTTTATTAACACCGAAACAATTAAAAACGGCCGTGTTAATTGATTTAATCATATTAGAACGTTTTTAAATCATTTACTTAATTAGGTGATAATAAAAAGGAATTTTTTAATTTATTGAAAAGTATGGTGCCATCTTTTATCTGAACGGTTACTTATTAATTTTAAGTTTTTATATGGCGTATGGCGCCATCTCTTACTACAAAACTCAGTTTAATAATAAACTCATACTTTATACTATAAAAATATGTACTCACTATTTCCAAACTTTTCAAAGTGGTCGGCAAATAGTAATCGTCTTAGGGAAGGTTGCGAGTTGCTTCGCTTTGGACATTCTAGGATTCGTTACAATGGTTATTACTTGGAAATACATTTAAGTTGTTCCTAACATTCATATCTTCTATGTGGACCTAAAAATGTGCAGAAAATTAATAATTGAAAACAATACAATGTTTTTAAAAAAATGTTCCTAATTGTTAAGAAAATTTTGATGAATTATTCAAAAAAAAAGAGCAATTTTTTTTTAATAATTTATGTTTTAGGTTCAAATAGAAAACAAGATTACTGTTTAGATTTGTAACAAATTTTAGGAAGATTGGTAGAGTATTTATTGGGATATCGTGACCCAAACGTTTCTAGGTCTAGTGCTAGAACTAGAAACAAATGAGTTTAGGCGTTTTAAGAGACGTATGGCTAAGTTCTGTCTTCGTAGTAACCAAAACATCCAGGAAAGGTTACTGTTTAACATCTCTCGTTTCCATGGTAAATTTGATCATGGGATTTGCGAGTTTAAGGACCGGTTGTACAATATACCGATGAACTTCCCGACAGTGATATCTGGCCGATAAGTTAGTTCGTACTGTATTATAATGTACAGATATTTTTGTCGGTGAGATTATCGGCAGGATAACTTATATTCGGTGAGGTATTCAGTTATGTCAGTTGTCTGTCGTGAAAAATTTTTAAACAATTATTATTGTCAAAATCATAATTCAAACTTCAAAGAAAGACGTTAGCGTTATCAACCTACGGCACAAATCACTGGATAGGAGGAAAAACTACTACCAACCGACCCTTATTTCGTCGATAGCAATCCTACCGACAAAAACCGTTTGTACAACAGCGAATATCTTTATTCTCCCGATAAATTTATCGGCCAGATAGTTATCAGGTAGATTTATCGGTATATTGTACAATCGGCCCCAAGTGGTTTAGGAACTTCTGGAGACGTTCTCTTCCATGGTGCCAGATCACAAAGGTGTCAACTACGGAACGAAACTTCATCCAGGAATAGCCAGCCATACGAGCCATACTATGACATTATTTTCTTACTAGACCATCTGTTAATTTTCCTTTCCTTCTAAGCTTGTGTTTCGGTTCATAACTATATTGCCAAAGAATTAATGGAAATACTATGAAAAAAAATGTTTTTGAGTATTTTTCAGGTTCTAAATGTATTTCTCCTCTTAATTAAATTTAGGTTAAATTATGAATTGGCATAAACCATTTTTATTTACTTATTTACATTTATATAGTCAACTGTAAAAATACTACACATTTTTTGTTCGATTAATTAATCAATATAGTTCCTAAAGCGCGCTATCTTAAAAGTTAAATCACAAATAAAAACGTCATCAACAATAATCGTTTCCTTTTTACCTTAACTATCACTATAATTACAAAATAAAATCATCAAATCGGATTAGAATAGAAAGAAAAATCTTCGATTTTCTCCATATACTTTTTTTAACTGCTAAAACCTAACGAAAAGAAACACAAAAACGAGATTTCTTTATTATTATTTTTTTTTAATTCTTGCTTAAAGTTATTTTTTTAATAAAACCTTTATTTGGTATTTTTTTAGCACCATAAAAAAAATTAACAAAAAGAAAAATATAACGAGACTTTTCCCTATTCTTTTACTTATTAAAACTCACTTAAATAACTACATCATGATCTGAATTATTACCATTTGAGGTATTTTGGGACCTTGTATCAACGTAAACGTCATCGGTTCTAGACGCGTGTGAAACTGCATCAGAAGAATCTGAACTACTGTCACCATTTATAATCGTTGAATTAGGAAACATAAAAAAGTTTTGCTCTTCAGCCATCTGTTGCAAAATTCGTGCTCGTAATAATAATCGGGCTCGTTCCATTTCATTTGTAACCGTAAACGTTCCACCACCAGTCGTCGATTGATTTTGATTCGTTGACGCATTTATTAACGGAGTTGTATCATCATCAGTGTCACTATCTGAAGAACATGGTTCTTCGTTTTGTGCGAACACTTTTCGTTTACAAATGGGACACACTCTACGATTATTTGTTAGCCATGGATCAATGCATTTTGAATGATAGGCTAAAATATATTTCAATTAAGAAAATTTAGTTTTAAAACAAATATTTGTTGAAAATAACTTTTAACACTTTGACGTCCGCAAGTTTCGCAAAAATTTCTTCGCTTGGCGCCGGCAGAAAATTCAGACTACTTATCCGTGCAAAAAGTCAAGGCCCCTCACTTTAGAGATCGATATCTTCGCAACCGATCGATGAAAAAAATTGCGACAAAGTTGAGTGTGCCGGCAACTTTGTCAAATATGCGATTTTTTTTCTCGAAAACTATTTGACGAAAAAATTTGAAATTTGAACTCGTGGTAAACCGATGTGTTCTTAATGTGGGGCATATTTTATTTTTTTGATATTCCATATAGTTTCGCGGAAAATCGCGGTTTAGTAGGATGCGGTTATTTCGAAAACGACCTCGCGGATTTCAAGGCGGTTTTTACCAAAATATGTAAAATAATGTCAGTTGTCAGATTCCGTTATCAGTTTTTCAAAATTGGGGCTCCCTAATTTTTTAAGAGCGATTTAATGGAATTACAAATTAAAGAGAAACAGAAATAAGCTATAAATCGCTCTTAAAAAAATTAAGGAGCTTTAATTTTGAAATAGTATATTAAAAAACAAGTTTCGTAAGACACGTTTGAAATGCACGAATTCAAGTTGAAAAACGAGTGGCGAAGCCACGAGTTTTTTAATGAATGAGTGCTTTAAGTCTTATGAAACGTGTTTTTTATGCTATTTTTTGTAATTCGCGTTTTTATACTTTTTTTTAACAAAAATAAAGTAAATTTTGGCAATGTAGGGAAATAGGTATGTAGCAGTTGGTAACACCGGAACACTTGAAAATAGAAACTTTGAATTGACAATTAGAAACTGTCAAAACACAAAATATATTCACCTGAAAAAAATGTTTGATGTACACCTCCCAAAATAAGAGAAATTGCTCAGAGTCAATGTCCTCATCATTGTGGACCTTGTATTCGNTAGATGGAAATTTAAAAAAAAAGTTTATTTTTGGCTTTATTCTAAAACAATAAGAAATAGACCTGTCGAACCCTATATTTTTGTAATCAGAAAAAAATAACGAATTTATTAAGCGAATAATCAGTGGTTGTTTCCATTTAAAAAAACGAAAATTGTGATAATATCTCAAAATCTAAAACCGACAAAATTTTTTTGACTACGTCATCAAATTCTCTGTAAAAAAGTGTCCATATAATGTTTTAGTTATAATACTCCAGCTATAATAATAACCAAGATAATTGCGCTTGCTGGTTTTACGATATTTTCAATTTTAGCCTCTAGCGGAAAAACAAAAGACGATAGCGCTATCAGGTTTTCGGCATTAGCAGTTTCTCGAAAAACGAGATCATGACATGTAAGCTACTTTTTTTCTAACTCTTATAGTTTCCGAGTTAGCCTATTCGGACATCGAATTTGAACCACCCTGTACATCAAACATTTTTTTTAGGTGAATACAGGGTGGTTCAGTTTTTAATCGGGAAACTTTACTAGGACGTAGTACTTGCCAAAATAACACAAGTTTTTTATATAAACATAGGGTCGTAACTCTTTTGTTTTCAAGCTATGAGCTGTCAAAGTTGAGCCAAAAATTTACATTTTATCTTTTATTTCGGGTATGAGTAAACCACAGAATTTGAAATTTTGTATGTACGTACTACTGGTTAATATCTTATTTTCAACCATACCTTAAACTTCCCTAGCGCCCTCTGAGGGGATGAAATTCACAAAATCCCTTTGATTTTTTTATAGCAACTTCTTAACGCCATGGAATATTAACATAAAAAAATATGGGTTGTAAAGCTTATTCATTATTGGTACTTTTTTGTCTCTTTAGTTTTTTCCTTAAAGATAATAGTTTTAGCGTAAAAAAATAAAATATGCTACATTGTACTGTAAAGCGCTATTATTCAAAAAATTTTTTCTTTATAGGTGGCTATGGAAGTTGTGCACTTACTGGGATCTAGTACTAACTAAATAACACCAATTAATTGTGACTTTCATAAGAAAAATCATAAATAAGATGAATGTCTGTCTAAACAATATTCAAAAATTGATACTCTTGCTTAATAACGGTCAAAAATTATTAATAATCATCAACAATTATGAGGAAACTTACAAGTTCTCAGAGCCAACTTTTAGAATAATTTTAGCTAAACATGGCGGCACATAGCACGATATTTTATTTTTTTACATGGAAACTATTAACTTTAAGGAAAATACTAAAGAGACAAAAAAGTACCACTAAAGAACAAGCTTTACAACCCATATTTTTTTATATCAATATTCCATAGCGTTAAAAAGTTATTATAAAAAAAATCAAGGGGATGGTGAATTTCATCCCCTTAGAGGGCGCTAGGGACGTTTTAGGTATGCTTGAAAATAAGGTCTTAACCATGTAGTAAATACGTATAAAGTTTCAAATTTTTCGGTTTACTTACAGCCGAAATACAAAACATAATGTAAATTTTTTTCTCAACTTTGATCGTTCATAGCTCGAAAATAAAAGAGTGTATGTTTATATACAAAAATTGTGTTATTTTGGCAAGTACTACATCCTAGTAAAGTTTCCCAATTAAAAACTGAACCACCCTGTATATTTTGTGTTTTGGCAGTTTCTAATTGTCAATTCAAAGTTTCTATTTTCAAGTGTTCCGGTGTTACCAACTGCTACATACCTATTTCCCTACATTGCCAAAATTTACTTTATTTTCGTTAAAAAAAAAAGTATAAAAACGCGAATTACAAAAAATAGCATAAAAAACACGTTTCATAAGACTTAAAGCACTCATTCATTAAAAAACTCGTGGCTTCGCCACTCGTTTTTCAACTTGAATTCGTGCATTTCAAGCGTGTCTTACGAAAATTGTTTTTTAATATACTATTAAAATAGACTGTCAAAATGAAAAAACATAGAATGTTTATTACCATGAGCGCAGGGTAGAACTCGAAGCTTTTCCCCTTCAATAAAATCATCCAAACAAATCGCACAAGTCTCATATGGATCACCTTTAATGAATTTGTGTAATACCATTTTATTTAAAGCGGAAGCTGGTAATCTATGTCGACGTGCTCTTCGACGATCTTTTATACATTTTACCACCTAAGTGGAATAGAAAATAATAAAAGAAACATCACAAACAACAAAACTTACCATAAATATAACCATTACAATAAAAAGTATTCCAACAACAATCGCAAATGGCAACAACAAATGTGTATTGATATTAAAAGGAGCATCTGGTGTAATAATAATATAAAATTCGCGTCTACTACTTAATTCTTTTAAATAATTAGCGTCGTAAGCCCCAATAAAAACCGAGGGAATATAAATACCCGTTGTATTGGTGGCCGTCATTGCTATCAAATTATCCGAATCTATGTTATGTACAATTACGCCATGAAATTTCGCGTTTTGGGCCATTCGTACTTTTCGTTCGTATGTACAATTGTGGCGAGCTATTAAAGCGACCCATTTTCCACGAAAATTGTGTATTGTTGGGGGTGGCTCAATTGCTTCACAAGCATCCACCGGATTTGCTATCGTTAACATCGCTTCCAGACCTTAAAACAATAAAATTATGACAAGTTTAATAAAAAAGGATCAATTTTACCATCGAAAGGTATTGATTCTCCAAATGTTGATGGCATATCTTTAAGAACGTTATAAGCAACATGTTCGGCCTAAAATAATTTTAAATAATACACAAATTTAAGAAATTATTTTTTTAAAACTTACGATATCATAAACGATTATGTCTCCAAACACCACTCTGCTCGATAAATAAACAATGAATAACACGAATATGGGGCTCTGACTTTTTAACATTTTATCCTAATTATTAAATCACATAACTTTTTAATGAAAACAGATGTAAATTTATGACTACAACCTAAAAAGAATTAGAAAATATTATTTATTTTGTGTTACAAGGTTTATTTTTGCGAAAAATTAAAGACCCAGTTTGACATAACCTAAAATATTTAATAAAATTATCTTTTCCAGGACGATTTTTTTAATAAACGATTTACTCGATTGATAAACTGTGGTTTTTTTATTATTAAAATTAAATTTAATTATTTATGACTAATAATAATAATAAGCTTGCTGTCAATTAGTAACAAAAATTAATAAAAGTAATAACCTGAGTTTTCGAGAGTGACGTTGCGGTAGACGCCTAAAATATGCTTCGAGATCGTTTAAAGCTGGTTCAAAACAAGTTTTCAGGCTTTAAAAACGACCTCAAACAATGATCGTAATCGCAAATTGTACAATAACCCTTTTAATAAACATCGCAAATAATGAAACAGAATTGAAGTTAGTCACCAGTTTGTCACTTTTGACGTTTATCACGTGTAGAAATAATTTTGCAAGGTCGAATTATTTTATTATAGAATTTATTTTATTTAATATAGATTAATACCAAGAAATATTTAAATACAATATCACCCTAACTAACGTTTAAAAAAATTCTAATCTGATAACGATATATATTATCCCCACCTCTTCACAAAATATAAATTAAAAAGGGAGCCATATTAAAGTAACAACTTAAAACCCAATTAATATTAATTCATATCTTATTAATATATCAAAATTTACTTTTCTGGTAGCATATTATTATTATATATTATTATTGTCTTTAAATATTTAAAGATTATCTAACTTCTAAGTTGCTTGTACCCCCACCACCGCCAAACACGTCTTCCAGAAATAATACATATCGTAAAAGTATTGATTAAAAAATAACTAACTTCATGATTAATCATAGAAACGTCAAAACAATATGATTTTGGTTATGTACGTTTGAGTATTGTTTATTTAAAGCGATAAAATGATTTTACGACCTCTAGATGACGATGTGGTTTAAAAATGTTACATTCGGCGGTGCGAAAATTAAAACATAGAGCCGCACTTTTATTGTGCTCAGCGTTATGTAAGTTAAAAAAAAAGTTTTAGAAGGATAAAATGTTTTTTTTTCTCATTTTAGGTTTTATATTATTTGTTAGTTACTTTTTACTTTCACCGGACGAGCCGCAATATCGCGGTCACAAGCGACAGTCTGGAATTATCGAGCAGAATGAATTGCTTACGAAAGCGCTGGATAAAGCTAACGATCGTATACAAGAACTTGAGGCTAGGCTTGATCGATTTGAGTCGAGGGTACCGAAAAAGTATCCCCAAGTAAAATCTTTGAATTATATTGCGAGGAAAAGAATTTTGGTAAGAAATTTTGGATGAATTAATTATTGAATTAATTTGTTTAATGAAATTTTAGATAACTGGTGGAGCTGGGTTTGTTGGTTCACATTTAGTGGATAAATTAATGTATGATGGGCACGAAGTAATCGTAGTAGATAATTTCTTTACCGGACGAAAAAGAAATGTAGAACATTGGATCGGACATGAAAATTTTGAGTTAATACATCATGACATTGTGAATCCTTTATTTATAGAGGTGGATGAAATTTATCATTTGGCTAGTCCTGCTAGCCCCCCTCATTATATGCACAACCCTGTTAAAACCATTAAAACAAATACTTTAGGAACTATTAATATACTAGGTTAGATTTAATTAATTTAATTTAAAATAATTTTTAATGTTACGTTTCTAAATAGGTCTAGCACGTAGAGTAAATGCCAAAGTATTAATAGCGAGTACTTCTGAGGTGTATGGGGATCCCGATATTCATCCACAACCTGAAACTTATTGGGGACATGTTAATCCAATAGGTAATGTTACATAACACATTCAATTAATAATTTTGAAATTGAATGATTAAAAAATTTCGTATTTATTGTTTAATAATAGTTAATTGTTACATACAATTTTTTTAGTGTTATAATTTGTCAAGGTTAAGTCCCACCTGTTATTAAGTTAAAGTTACTTAAGCAAAAAATACTTACGTCAAATTGATAAGAACTGATAATGAACTTGGGAAAAATATTAGAAATATTTTTACATAAAAAACTATAGATAAGCTTTTGTGCTAGCTTTGAAAATTAAATTAAATTATTTTTTGTATTTTAATTGTATAAATCGTTTGTTATAGGTCCCAGAGCGTGTTATGATGAAGGTAAGCGCGTTGCGGAAACGTTAACTTACGCATATTCAAAACAAGAAAAAATGGAAGTGAGGGTAGCAAGAATTTTTAATACATTTGGGCCTAGAATGCATATGAATGATGGTCGAGTTGTTTCAAATTTTATCTTACAAGCACTCAAAGAAGATGTTATAACAGTAATTTTAAAAATTTGTCATTTTCAAAACTTGTATCAATACTTTTCTTGTAGATTTATGGCCCTGGGGAACAAACTCGTTCATTTCAATACATTTCCGATTTAGTCGATGGATTGGTAGCTCTTATGCACTCAAATTATTCACAACCTGTAAATATAGGAAATCCTGTTGAACATACTATAAATGGTAAAAAGATATATTTTTTGATCTTATTTGTAAATTATTTATTTTTAGAATTTGCAACGATAATAAAGGATCTAGTCGGTGGTAAAAGTAAAATAGTTCATTTAGCAGAAGTTGAGGATGACCCGCAAAGAAGACGACCCGATATAACAAGGGCCAAGACTGTTTTAGGATGGGAACCAAAAGTTTCTTTAAATGTGGGTCTCCGAAAAACCGTGGAGTATTTTAAAAGGGAGTTGCAACGGTTTAATTATACTCATAAAGATAAATTAATTACATAATAGTTTTTTTTTCATAATTTATTGTTTTTTTTGCAAAAAGATTTTCTTTTTATAATTGATAGTTTATCTTGTTTTATTTTCTATAGATTTGCTGTGATTATTGATTATTATCAATATTATTTATAGAGTTTCCAGCTGGATTCACCTTTCTACACTTAAAATGCTCTTTTTTGTACTCAAGTGCAACCAGCCGAAAACACTATTAGATTATATTCCTATTATTTGTAAGAATAAAATTATAAATAAATGATCCAACCTAATAAAATCCAGTTTTATTTCAATGGTTATAAATAAAATCTATTTTTTTACAAGTATTTTTAGATTAAATTCGACATATTTTGGGTAAAATCCAAAAACTTGCGATTTATTCTTGGATAAATTGAGGTTATGTTGATAACTTAAACGTCAAAGTAACTAATAAAAAGATTAAGATAATTATTATAAAAATAATTTTGATTAATTTAATATAATTATAAACATTCAAACATTATTTACACAAAAATTTAATTTTTTAATTATAAAATAATAAAGTGAGGTTATTTTGTCAAATTTAAAAATTTTTACTGTCAAAAAAAGGGGAAAAATATTAAATTAGAAGTAATTATTTTTATTATATTATTAAATTGGCGGGTTATAAAAAAATTTTGAAATAAATGTTACAAAACGCATGCGTAAAAACGTAACCGACTGTGCTGGACCAATGACATTAACCCACGAAAATCAGTCTTTGCTGACAGTAGTATATTTTCTATCTAATCTAAAAAATGTTGGAATAAACACCACAAAAGTTTAAACCGAGAAGATGTCTAATCAACCAAATAGTAGTAAAATGCAACGTGAAATATGGACCAAATTAACACCATACTTAGCACTTTTAATCCTGGAATTTCTTTTAGACGGTAAGATTTTGTATAAACATAACCTCGACGTTGATTATAACCTCAATTTAAATCTTAACTGAATTGCAAATGTAAAATTTTGTAGTTAGCGAAGCTGCCTCTCAAGCAGAGATCAACAATCATTTGGAACTAGGAAAACAATTTTTAGCAAAAGGGCAACTATCAGATGCTCTATCACATTATCACGCCGCCGTTGAAGGTGACCCAAGAAATTACCTTACATATTTTAAACGTGGAACTGTCTACCTCGCCTTAGGAAAAGCAAAGAACGCTCTTAGTGATTTAGATAAAGTTATCGAGTTAAAACCCGATTTTACAGCTGCACGTATTAGTAGAGGAAACGTGCATTTAAAATTAGCCAATTACGATTTAGCACAATTAGACTTTTATAACACAGTAAGTTTTTAAATCTTAATTTTATTCATTTAATATAAATAATACATTTTATTAGGTTATGTTAACTGTTTAAAGTTTTGGACATGTTTCAGAGATGGCGCTTTATCCAAAAAGAATTAATTGATTTTTAGAAAGAAAACTTTTTAAAAGCTGTAAATCATAATTCTTAATATATATACTAAAAATTTGTACTTAAATTTAATAATTTGTTAAACAATTTCGGTTAATTTTTGAAATGACTTAAATTGTCAGCGCCATCTTTTGACCAACATCAGAATTTGTACTTTAATAATTTTTACATTTTTTTGTGTACACAGTGAATTACACTTAAGATTACTTACTTACTTTGTCCCACATAGAATGCAATCTGTCCATATAATATGACATTACAGTAAAACCTCGATATAACGGATTAATACAGGGAAGGCAGTGTCCGTTATAGCTCTATAAAAATATACAATAATCTATTGCTGAATAACAAATAAAACTAGACTAACGTTAGCACTAAAACTAACACTACACCTAGAATTAGAAACATTTCGTTTAGTACCTCTTTTAAGACGGCTGGTAAGTGGTAGGAAGCGCTAGTTAGCATAAAATATCACTATGTTGCATATTTTCTTTGAACTAATACCAGAACTAACACAAGAGCTAGAACTAAAATCATTCGGGTTTAGCCATCTTACAAGACGTGCGGCTAAGTTCGAATGTTTCTAGTTATAGGTCTAGTGTTAGTTCTACTTTTGCACTAACACTGTCACTAAAGCTAACATAACTATTAAGTTGCGTTACTATTAAGCTATGTTGCATTTTATGTGGGACCATAGTAATTTCGTAACTATGGTTACTGCATTCATATATTGCGAATTATATGAAATTCCCGTTATATCTACAAAATATAATTCTAACATATACAGGGTGATTTATAACATACGGAGCAGATTAAAAGAGCAAGTACTAGGGGCCAAACTGAAGATATTTTCTTAATAATGTTTTGACTACAACGTAATAATCACAAAGATATAGAGCATTAAAGTTGAATTAATTTCCCAGCATTTCTTACGATATACGGTATTACACTACGTTTAAATTCAAACTGCGAATATTTCGGGGTTACTTAAGCAATGCCTGATTAGCACCAATAATAAAATCTTTGTAATATGGCAGTTACGGCTATTTAAATAGTATATTAAAAAACAAGTTTCGTAAGACACGCTTGAAATGCACGAATTCAAGTTGAAAAACGAGTTTTTTAATGAATGAGTGCTTTAAGTCTTATGAAACGTGTTTTTTATGCTATTTTTTGTAATTCGCGTTTTTATCCTTTTTTTTAACAAAAATAAAATAAATTTTGACAATGTAGGGAAATAGATATGTAGCAGTTGGAAACACCGTAACACTTGAAAATAGAAATTTTAATTGACAATTAGAAACTGTCAAAACACAAAATGTATTCACCTGAAAAAAATGTTTCATGTACACCTTACAAAATAAGAGAAATTGCTCAGTGTTCAATGTCCTCATCATTGTAGACCTTGTATTCGATGCTAAGAACGTGTTTAGACAAAAATTGTCACATTGACAACTAGAAAAATTAAAGACCCAATGTCACCACCTTGAACTGGTTCCATAAAATGTTACTAAAATCTCATTACAGCATCGGACGCTGTAAGGAGTCTCATTACAGCACCCGTTTGAGTACTGTTAGAGCTTTCATTACCGTCGCGAATTACAAAAAATTTGTTAAATCACTCAAAAACTGGTGTTTGTTTTTTGAGGACCGCTGATACCATGTTTTTATTGCTGTCAATCCAGTTGACTTGGTTACCTAGCAACGGACATGTCATTTAATTTTAATAATCAATGTCATTTAACGTCAAAATTAGAATTTTTACTAATCAAAAAATACAATGGTAATGTACAGTAACGAAGAATACGTAGATATGCTTATTATTTATGGAGCTGCTGGAGAAAACGCTGCACACGCAAGACGTCTGTATTTAGAACGATATCCAAATCGACAGATCCCTTCTGAAAACACTTTTCTTCGGTTAATCCAGCGGGGAAGAGAGACAGGAAATTTGCAACCTAAGAAAGGTCTTGGTGGCGGTAGACTAAACAGACATGGAGTGAATGTGGAAGAAGAAATTCTAGAAATTGTGGAAGCGGATCGAAGCACGAGTACTCGTCAAATTTCTCACCAACTCGAGGTATCCCAGAATTTTGTTTGGCGTACGTTGAAAAGTAACGGTTTACACCCCTATCATTTTCAAAAAGTGCAAGGACTGACTCCCGCTGACTATCCTTTGCGGTTGCAATTTTGCGAGTGGCTACTAAATCGTACCAACAGAGAAGCAGATTTTGCGGACAGTATACTGGTAACGGATGAATGCTGTTTTACCAGAAATGGTGTTCTAAATGTTCACAATTCCCATGTGTGGTCGGACGAAAATCCACACGTTATTCGTCAAGGCTCTTTTCAACAACGATTCAGAGTGAATCTATGGGCGGGAATTGTGAACAATACGTTAATAGGACCTTTCGAATTACCAGGAACTCTTAATGGAACTTCTTATTTACAGTTTTTACAAGAAAATCTGCCAGTACTCCTGGAAGATATTCCGCTACTTATGCGACGTGAGATGTGGTTTATGCACGACGGTTGTCCTGCACATTTTAGTCGTAATGTACGAGATTTCCTCGATAATGCTTTTCGGCAAAAATGGATTGGTCGAGGTGGACCTATTCCATGGCCACCACGTAGTCCCGATCTTAACCCATTGGACTTTTTTTTATGGGGATTCATGAAGGATAGAGTATATGCCACCGAGGTTAATACAATCGACGAACTACGACATCGCATCACTGCCGCTACAGAGGACATACGTCCACGATTTCCACGATTATCGTTAAATTGGATTCGTCGTGCGCAGTTGTGCGTCGAAATGCAAGGACAGCACTTTGAACATATGTTATAAAGAGATTATAATGATTATTATTATTATTATGTTATTTTCTTGTTTTAGAGATTTTGTAATTTTGCATTTAAAACATTATTATTATCCGTTTCATAAATTAACATCTATTATTTCTTTTCATAAATTACGTATTAAAACTAAACAATTAAATTGTCTACTTTGACAGCTCCTTCAAAAATGAGGATGGCGTTGACAAGTATTTTAATTGTTCTTTAGTGAATATCAGCGGTTCTCAAAAGTTGACGCTAACTTATTTAAAAAATTAACATGCGATATCTATGTAACTATTAAGATTTTAACAAAACATTATTAAGAAAATCTCTTCAGTTTGACCTCAAGTACCTACCCATTTAGTCTCCTCCGTATGTTATAAATCACCCTGTATATTCTTTTAGTTACAAGCAGATCCCTACAACCCTGAGGCTAACGAATTAATTCAAAAAATCGAACCAGCAACCGAAAAGAAACGCTTAGCAGATTACTATTACGGTAATAACGATTACAACAGTGCCATTCAACTATTAACCGAAGTAATTGAAATAAGTCCATGGGCTTCACACCTTTACGAATTAAGATCGGAAATTTTAATGGAAAATAACGATATTTTAGCCGCTGTTAGTGATATAAAAACAGCTTCGAAACTTCAATCGGATAATGTAGATGGATATTTTAAACTTTCAAATTTGTTATATCAACTTGGTCACGCTACGGACGCTTTAAAATATATTCGGGAATGTTTAAAATTAGATCCTGAACATAAAGATTGTTTTCCGTTGTACAAGAAATTAAAAAAAATTGAAAAATTTTTAACGGAGGCTGAACAATATTTGGAGGAAAAAAATTATGGTGAATGTATTACGTCAGCTTTGAAGGTATTGAAAAATGAACGCGATATTTCGATGATTATTTATGAAGGGAATCGGTTGCTTTGCGCTTGTTATTCGAAAGATGAACAAATAAACGAGGCAATTAAACATTGTACGGATGCTTTAAATACAAATTTAGATGCTGGAGTTTATTGTGATCGTGCCGATGCTTATTTGCAATCGGAATTGTATGATGATGCTATTAAAGATTTTAAATCGGCCTTAGAAGTCGATCAAAATTACGAGCGGGCTAAAGAAGGTCAACAGAAAGCACAAAAATTACAACAACAAGCTGAAAGAAGGGATTACTATAAAATTTTGGAAGTGAAAAGAACCGCATCGAAAAAAGAAATTGTAAAAGCTTATCGAAAACAAGCACAAAAATGGCATCCGGATAATTATCAAAATGATGAAAAAATGAAAAAGGTTGCAGAAAAAAAATTCATTGATATTGCAGCCGCTAAAGAAGTTTTAACAGACGAAGAGAAACGAAGACAGTTTGATAACGGCGAAGATCCATTAGATCCTGAATCGGGAAAAAGCGGGATGCCAAATTTTAATAATTTCCACAATTTCCATTCGTTTCAAGGAAGTCCATTTCAGTTTAGGTTTCATTTTAATTGATCAAGTTTTATCACAAGTTATAACAACATTTATTATTTACGAAGCGATTGGAACGAAACGTGATATTTCACTTTTTATAAGGAAGATTTTTTTATTAATTTGAATATTTTCAAAGCGTTGACGCATTTAGATGTGGTTAAAAAAAATGAACTGATACCAATTAAAGCGAGTGTATTAAATATTAAAAAACATTGAGTGTGTGTGAGATAAACAATTGTTATTAAAACGATTTGTACATATTTCTTATTGTAATTATTACTGTAATAGTTGCAGTGATGTTATTTATATTTCCAAAATAAAAAACAAATTTCTTTGTATATAATATTTCGTTTTTTTTTATTAAACAAGCCATTATAATGTGATTATAGTATATTAAAAAACAAGACACGCTTGAAATGCACGAATTCAATTTGAAAAACGAGTGGCGAAGCCATTCGGATTTTGTAATTCGCGTTTTTATACTTTTTTTTTAACAAAAATAAAGTAAATTTTGGCAATGTAGGGAAATAGGTATGTAGCAGGTGGTACCACCGGAACACTTGAAAATAGAAACTTTGAATTGACAATTAGAAACTGTCAAAACACAAAATATATTCACCTGAAAAAAATGTTTGATGTACACCTCCCAAAATAAGAGAAATTGCTCAGAGTCAATGTCCTCATCATTGTGGACCTTGTATTCGATGCTAAGAACGTGTTTAAACATCCATAGACAAAAATTGTCACATTGACAACTAGAAAAATTAATGACCCAATGTCACCAACTTGAACTGGTTCCATAAAATGTTACTAAAATCTCATTACAGCA